GTCCAATACAGCGCTCCTCCCAACGTTCATCTTTCTCAACCATAAATCGTACCTGACCCCCGGCCATCAGTGCCAGCCCGCAATCCATCAGCTCCCCGATCTTCGTCACCATTCGGTTCTCACCCGACACCAAATGAAAGCACCATTCCGGCAGCGGGAACGCACTCAGACTGGCAATGCTTCTCTTCTGCAGAACTTCCCCAAGAAACTTCTCCCCGATCCCCAGCTGCTCCCGCAGATTCCCCATTGCAAAATCATTGTGCGGCAACGACTCGGTCTTTTTTTCCTCCAGCTTGGTGTTCTGGGCCTCGTTCTTTGACATAGCGTCACGCCCCATGTTCAGCAAGATCGCCAGCCACTCCACTATCTCGATATCAAACCCCTCTATTTCTTTCCCAAGCGAAACCGGCATCTCCTGCATGATCCCCGATAGTTTCAGAGCGTACGGCCTGTACCCCTTTTCAGCTGAGTTCATCACATTTACCTGTTTTGCATCAAACGGCAAACCGCAGCCTGACTCGGCCACTCGTCGCAATAGTTTTGTCTTCGACACAACTGAGTCCTCACCCAGCGGTACGCAACGTCCCAGCCACAGCTCTAATCCAGCCGTGGCCAGCACTCGGCTCGCCACGTAGTCCCGTCGATTCTTGTACTGCTGCATATTGTTCGAACTCGACAAATCTTCGTCGGCATTTGCTGCAACTCGAAACTCCTTCATCCACCCTCCCAGTCCTTGAGCAGCAAACGCTACAGACCACCGCAGCCAAACCTCCTCCGGTTCGTAAGGCACCCGACGCACTTTCGGCACACTCTTTCGCCCAAAGCACCACAACACCGTATAATACACGTATCGGATTGGTATGGACAGAAGACGCTGGAGAAAAATGTGGCCATGCGATGAGTCCGTCGTGATATCCATGTCTTCGAACTGCATGTAACAACGGGCATTTCCATGAAAAAGGCGGTTCTCAATGAGTTCGTCGCTGACTAACAGCTCATCCGCCATCTTATCCGCAGACAGGACCTCCGGCTCATCCGCCATCTTATCCTCAGACAGGACCGCCGGCTCATCCGCCATCTCATCCGCAGACAGGACCTCCGAGTCGTCCAGGCCTTCGTTCTTGCCCTTTCCTCGCCTACGCTTATCTTTGCTCTCTTTGGCAACCGGAGGCTTATAATGAATCCCCAGCGCCCGCAGAGCTTGAATACTCTTGGAAGCCCACGCCACAAACATGCGAAGCTGCCACAAGCCCCACGCTGTCCGCAAGAAGTACAGCAGCGCAAATAGCAATGCGACAATCGCCGTGAACATTTCCTTGGTATCGTTCCCAATTTGAATCGCAATGTAAAATAATATGTAAAGAGCTGGGACACCGCTGAGGAACAGGTTGATGTATCCTGCGTTGCGTACGTGGCGTGCCTTGCGCCACGCCGGTGAGATAAAGTCGAAAGCCGTCAACGCGGTCCACGGCAGGAAGGCCGCGAAATACGCAAACAGGACGATGTAAAAGTTGTCTGCGAGATGGCCGAGCACCATTGTTCAGGATGGCGAGTTGGCGACAAGGGAAAGATGTGATGTGAAGGAGTATATTTTCGAAAAGTCTCGGGGAGCAGTTGGCTTTTGCAGTCGCTCTTGCTGTGAAACGAGTTGATTTTGTTCGGTACGGGAGGCAAAGGGGTGGAATGCGCTTAGCTGGCGGAAGAAGGGGGAGGCAGGTACGCGGACGGGCCGGGCTTATGGTATACAGGGGGGGTCGCGATATAGTGCTACCCTGTGTCAGTGGGCCGAAAACGGCACTATATCGAACCAGGCACTGTTAGATAATGAGATTTACGGCTTTTTGCAACCACTTCCTTGCATCACTGCTCAGAAAGACCGCTCGCAGGACGCCATCACTCTTGCTTTGTATCTTCACTACAGACTCAAGTCTAATCAAGCATTTCTGTTAGTAGTAGCTGCCGAGCCGTTGCATTGACTTCCTCCTTTTTCGCAGCCATAAATACCAGCCTACACTTTTGCAGATGTCCAATTGCATCATCGACCCGGCTTTTTTTCGCCATAGTCTCTATTCGAGTTGGCAACTCCATAATATCTTTCCGCGGCGGCAGCGGCTCTCGGGCAGTACCCCATGTCCATCCAACTGCCTCCCTGGAGACCCTTCGTTTGTGGCTCAAAATTCGTGCCACCAGCAGAAGGGTAGCACTATATCGGAGCTGACACTAACAAATATGGCACTATATCGCGACCCCCCCTGTACTGTACATACAGTTTGTGCGGTGTCGTTTGTTCGTTTTTGGTGCACGGCTTACCGTAAAGACAGAATCAGGGCCAAAGAGGCCGGGGGCCATTCACGAGGCCACAGAAGACGTTGAAGATGATCTCGAGATGGCAGCAATGCGATCCAACAAGGCGGGCACACTTGGATTTCGCCAAGGGATTCAACAAGGCATTGTTGAGATTTAGGGCTTAAAGTGGGCTCCGTGCGCGCTTCGCGCGCCGAGCCAAGGAAGCGTGGAGGAACACTATTTGGGAAGGGTGGCAATGAAAATATGTAAAGACAATGGCGTTTACTTTTTTTGGTAACTACTGAAGGACCTCGGGGTACACTACGTTTCGCGTGGTTTCATTGGACTCTCGAGTGAGGACAGTGACGTTGCCTGGGTGAGTAGTCCTTGATAGTGCGACATAGAGTTGACCGTGCGAGAAGCAGTGATCTCGTAAGTCGAGACCAATGCGGCCACCGAAGGATTGGCCTTGCGCTTTGTTCGTTGTAAGGGCGAAGCACGTGCGAATGGGGAACTGCGTTCGGGTGAAGCCAGGGATGGGAAAGTTGTCGTCTCCTGGTCCGCAGGGCATTCGAGGAAGACACAGTCTGTTGCCTTGGTGTGACCCGGTGGTAACGTGTAGAAAGAGCAGGTTGTTGGTCATGTTCTCGATGACATATCGCGCGCCGTTGACGTGACCGGTAGCGGGATCGAGATTGCGCAGAAGCATGACGATGAAGCCTTTCTTGAGCTTGAGCTTGTGGTCTGGTAGAGCAGATCCGGCGGTCAAGGTGTTGAGCATTTCTGTGGGATAGATCAGCGCGTTGGTGTCTTCGTTCTCGACCTTGTCTGCGCTCAAATACGTTCGATACGATCCCGGAATCATGTTGCCGATGACCTCGTTGACTTCCTCGAGCGGCCTGTTCTTTGTGGTGAGTATAACGCGCTTGGTGAGCCAGGCAGGGTCGGCGTGATTGTCTCGAATGCCTTGGAAGACCTTGAGGCATAAATTGCGGATGGTGTGCTCGAACGCAACGGACTGTGGTAGTGAGATCCATTCCGGGCGCTGTTCGCCTTGAAGTCTGCCTTCCCCGACGCTGAGGAGGAATTCTGGAAAGTTGAGAGCCTCCACATCTGCTGCAGGGTCCGCTCGGAGAGCAGCAAGGCGCATGTTCTCGGTAAGGCGCAGGAATCGGCACTCTCGATACAGCGGGGAAGCCTTGACGCACGCACTCACGATTTGACCTCTGGACCCGCCCGGAACGACGGGAAGGATTTGTCTAAAGTCTCCAGCGAGCACGAGGAACTTTCCTCCGAAGGGCCGGTCGGTTTGCATCAAGTCTCGAAGGGAGCGATCGACAGTCTCAATGCAATGTCGATGGCACATGACGATCTCGTCCCATATGATGAGATCGACTTGTTGCAGTGTACGGCCTGTGTCGGAGTTTGCGGAGAAGCTGCACGTGCTTTCAGCAGATACAGGAATGGGAATCTTGAACACGGAATGAGCGGTGCGTCCACCGTCGAGCAGCACAGCAGCAACAGCAGACGTAGCGACAGCGATGACCTGCTTACGGCGCGTACGAAGGAAGTCTTGAATGGCGCTGAGCACGAATGTTTTGCCTGTTCCGCCAGGAGCATCGAGGAAGAAGAGACGACCACTTCGTGTCGGCATAGAAGGTCCCGCAACGGCGCTTAAGGATCCTTGAAGCAATGCAGAGACGGATACGCCTGGAAGCAAGGAGCCCACTATTTCGTCAAAGGCATGACGTTGATTTGTGTTCAACAGCGGCAACGACGTCTGTAGTCGCCCTTCCCACTGCTGCGCTCGTGCTTCGGGGGTCTCGATCTCGTTTTGCTGTTCCAAAGCGGGCAGGCTGTCATCGGGCAGTGGGAGTCCGAAGTTTGCGAGCGTCCAGTCGGATCGCACGGTCTGCAGAGCCTCCTGTACCTCTCGAAGTACGTAAGATGTGGCGTGGTGATCATCGCGAAGCTGCTGTCTTCGAATGGGTTGTCTGCGTGCACGATTGCGAATATCGGTGAGAAACATGTCCAGGTGGTCGTTCCACAGCGAGAGAGGGTCCGAAGGCTGGCAGTGTGCCAGAATCGTAGCAAACAGATGAGAAAGAGGAACGAAGCTTGACCGGAATGAATCTCGGATTGCGT